TGAACACTTCTCTATGATTGATTGCAGCCTCTAGTGAAGCTGATTTTTATAGTCGTCGTTACTATGATTGGTGGGTGTATAACATCGGATAACACTCATTGCGATTCCCTCCTTCTTTGTTTTGGGTGACGTTTTGATAATCCTGGATCCTTGAGATTCCCATCCTATAAGTACATTACGTGTTTCCTTGGACAGCATCAAAGTACCTCCCTGAGTGCGTGAAGCACTTTCTTCTCCATGACCCGAGTTTGACAGATTCTGAGAACCACTAAGTTGTATCTCCTCATTCCTGCGACTATTTGACTAAGACTCTCAAATTGTCTGGACATCCAATTTACCGATATAAATTGTTGCTCTGGTTGTTAGAAGAAGCGTCGTCCTCGTAACTTCCGCAGAATCTCGGCTTTCACCACGAGAAGTCATAATTTTTGTAAATGAAGATCCTTCAACTGGGAGAGCAGAATTTAAGTGGCTTAAATTGTTTTTCCTGGTCAGTATTTTCATAGCAAGCTTGTTGATGATCTCATATCCAACCCTTCTCCTTAATTCAGGCTTGATACCAGCAGTAGTACCAGAAGTGGTACTGGTGGAGTTAATCCACTTATAATGTTTGGTAAATATAAATTATGTGTGTTCATATTGAGATAAGAGGCAAGCGGTACTCTTATTATCTTCGAAATAGTTACGTTTTGTATAAGATTTTGTTCAGGTTATTTTTCTACTTTTCTCGGTTAGCTGAACAATGTAAAATAACCAAATTTAAAAAAATGTTCATGGTATTCCTGAAAATTTGTTAATATACAAATCTGTCTAAACCTTTTTTTTGATTTTATAATGAATTTATTCAAAATTATTGTCCGCCAATTTGGAAAATGTAGAAGGATGTATCATGTTTGGATAGAAGATTTCGAAACTTAATTGGGAGACTGAAAAATATTCTTTTTTTTCCCCTAGAATTATACTTACACTGTTTTGGATGGTCGATGTTAACTTTGAACCAACACTAATAATATATTAATCTATAAATCATAGATTTATAGATTATCAACTCCGCCTGGAGTCGCTATATGTTTATTCAGCTAAAATATTACATCCGAAGAATATTTATTAATAATTAATAACTTTTACTCAATGTACTCTTGAGCTAATTAATAATAATAAGAATTACGTCTGTTGTTTGTCAGTTATATCATAAACTCTAATGGAGAAGTATTCAGATCTGTTTCTACTCTTCAAATAATAAGATTAACCTATAAGTTGTCTAAGCTACAACTAACGTTTTTTAAAGTAATTTCTGATTAATAATTATTATCAGAAAGAAGCTTTGTGGATATTATAGTCAATTGAAGCTAGACTACCATGAAAAACATAGAAGCACTGAACGGCCGTTTCATCCTATTGTGGAACTCAGCAGTGCGTATCCACGATCCTGCCTCGCGAGATTCAAACCCAAGACATTCAACGATGTTAATGTTTAACTTCATCCAGTCCATGAGATTGAGCCACCGTCCATGTTGATGAATAAGTGACAGTAAGTATCATTTTAGAGATTTAATTTAAACATAAAACAGATTCTTTCATATCAAATAATACTTTTATATGTGAAATTAAGTATACTTATTGCATTTATATTTAAATTCATCTAAAGAAACTTTTTATGAGGTTATTTGTAAGAAATTATATATGTGGATTATACTGTAGTGAACGAGAACATAAGTGGGGACAATCAAATATACTTGAATTCAAAGTTACAGTTATTTGGTATAATGTGAATACTATACATACAATAGTTCATTTGCAACATATCTATCAATTGCCTCAGACTTTATTGTTCCTTCATTTCCCATACCAATTGTACAGTGTTCCCGTTCTCTTCTATTCGTTCTTCTAAACCTTATGCTGCCAGGCATTCAACTTTCGCCTGGTGTTACATACTACTTGTATCTGATGAGATAAGTAATACACACCATAATACTACTCAGAAATTATGAGTTATGAATTTTCACGTCATTAAGTAATTTAGCGTACATACAATAACTGTTATTCTTAAAGTATCAATTGAATAAAATTAATTGAAACACAATATATGGTTAATCAGAAAAACCTCAATCAGGATTTAAACAAATAGTTTTACAAAAGTTGGATGTTAATGTTATAACTTGTGAACTTGTATGCCCTGTTTATTGTATAACGCAAAGATACCGCCAATCGGAGAGCAGCGAATTACCGATTGAACCAGTGACGCATAAAACACGTGCGAGCAACCTGATTGGTCTTGCTTTCCGCCTACCCCAGCCAGTTGAGTCCAGAACACCAATTTCAGCCTATGCAATATGAATCATTTATTTCAAACATACTCGGTTTATATATCAACCAGACAGACCACAACGTACCATAAAATATGAAACAACATTTGTACAAGAATTAGCCAAATGTAGCTGTGAATGTGGGAGATAGTAATTAATAGACAGGCCATAACTCAAGAACGGTAAATCGTATAGCTATAGTCTATGGGTCAAATTAAAGCTTACAATAAGAGAGACATGAACATGAGCAGTTTAGTTACATTACAATTATACGATAAAAATATACTCATAGTATTGGTCCATAAATGGATCCCAAAGTTAACATTCATTATTCCTATCGGGATATAACAGTTAAGTATACAAAATATACTTAAAACAAATTTGAATTATTTCTACAAATTCACTTGGACTAGAGGTTCATGGAAGAAACACTGAAACTACTTGGATGGATTAACTATGATATGATTCAGGGACTAGTTAGATTCCTAAACAGAGAATCCAACTTACCAGACGGAGAAAAATGAAGTAATGGATGTAAAATTCTGTTACTAAGAACCAAATAAAACTACTCACAAAATGTTCGTACCTAAATTATTTCATCGTGAATATGTAGGCGGTAGATTATCCACAGTTGTATCTATTTCCTAAAACAACTTTGCAAATTGACTAGTTTATTTTGTTCTCGAAATCTTACTTACTTAATTACGCCTGTTACTCCAATTGGAGTATAGATCGAACACCAGCATTCTCCAACCCACTCTGTACTCCGCCCTTTTTTCCAGTTCTATCCAGATTTTGTTCATTTTTCTCATGTCTATTTACATTTCCCGGCGTAATGTGTTCTTTGGTCTTCCTCTCCTCCTTTGTTTAGCCCCGAGGATCCCATGTGAGGGCTTGTCTTGTGGCGCAGGTGGGTGCTTTCCTCAACGTGTGTCCTATCCACTTCCAGCGCTTCTTCCTAATTTCTTCCTCCACTGGGATCTGGTTTGTTCTCTCCCACAGTTGGTTGTTGCTAATAGTGTCCGGCCAACAGATCTGTAGTATTTTGTGTAAGCAACTGTTAATAAACGCTTGTGTCTTCTGAATGATGTCTTTCGTAGTTCTCCAGGTTTCCGCCCCATACAGCAGAACTGTCTTGACATTTGTATTGAAAATCCTGACTTTGGTGTTGGTTGACAGTTGTTTTGAGTTCCAGACGTTTCTCAGTTGTAAATATTCTGATATTACTTGTTTTTATGTATTTATTTATGTTATAAACTATACACATTTGTAATTCGTGATTAGTAAATAAACACAATGATAGGTAATTCATGTTGATTTAATTCACTTTGATTGATTTAAATTATTTATTCTTGACATAATGGATTAAATTTCTTGTTGTGTGACAATTATAGTATAACAAATTCATTGATGAATTATGAATGAATATAAAGTAAGTTGATATACATCACGAAACTCCATTAGGTAAACTACTGTCTATACTTAGTGAAGTTATGCAGTTTTACGTTGAGATTAGATGGTGGTTGGAGGTAGTTGACAGGAAACCCTGGACCTCTGGGTGACACGGGATAGAATCCGCCAGGGAGCACCAGTCCCCTCAAGATTACATGTACACCTTGCTGACGAGTGCCAAGTAGCACGAAACCCGGGTCAAGGGTTTCCTGTCGACTACGTCCAACCACCATCTAATCTCAATATACAGAGCATGCAGTGTCGAGTCACTTAGACTGGTGGCCACATTGCAACATGGTCGATAGCATTCGATCTACACTAAATAAGGACTTGATACACATGACATTGATCACCACCCAGCGATCAATCAATTTCAGTTTTATGTGGATGGACAATAAACTTCTTACAAGGATTTTGTACAGACAAATAAGTCAATCTACGTAAAAAATGGTAAGATTCAGCTGTACATTTAAAGAATACCAGTGAGTATTGTATAAAACAGCATATATTAGGCATTCCTATATGAAATTATCATTAAATTTTGATAATAAACATTAATAAACACCATCATTTACATATTCTGCATTCCAATTTTAGAATATCCAGATAATGAGTATGCTTTTTAATTCATTATTATCATTAATTGATCTTAACTACAGTATAGTTGAATCTTTAATGAAAGGAATTAGAGTTCCCCAGTCAACAGACAAATTTTTTAGTATGAATGAATATTAGTGAAATCGATGTGTTTTTATTTTGTTTGTTTTCGAACTAGGATATGATGCTACCTGATCGATCCGATCCCGTGCTACCCAGCTTCACAATCAGAGACGTTACGATTGGTCTAACTGGGTCGTTACCAACCTCCTGTAGCATGGAATTACAATTGATTAATCACTAGATAATGATCAATGACAGGTGTATCATATCCTGCTTATTACTGTCCAGTGCTCTCTGATCCACATTTATTTAGTATGATTATAATCTATTAATTTACCAATGATACAACTTCCAATTTTTCATCCTTCATTTTACATGTTACAAAATCCATTTTAGAAAATAATAGTTTATTATCTATACGAAACATAATGATTTGATAATTTGTGTGTCTACAACAACAGGTTAAGAAAACTCAATTTACAACACAAATACTTGTAACATAAGTTAAATCTTCATTGTAATATAAATTGAAGTTAATTCAGCAGTATAATACACGTGATACATTACGACCAAAAATATGGTTTATAAAAAAGTGTATTGATGATGATGATGATGATGATGATGATGATGATGATGATGATGATGATGATGATGATGATGATGATGATGATGATGATGATGATGATGATGATGATGATGATGATGATGATGATGATGATGATGATGATGATGATGATGATGATGATGATGATGATGATGATGATGATGATGATGATGATGATGATGATGATGATGATGATGATGATGATGATGATGATGATGATGATGATGATGAGATGATGATGATGATGATGATGATGATGATGATGATGATGATGATGATGATGATGATGATGATGATGATGATGATGATGATGATGATGATGATGATGATGATGATGATGATGATGATGATGATGATGATGATGATGATGATGATGATGATGATGATGATGATGATGATGATGATGATGATGATGATGATGATGATGATGATGATGATGATGATGATGATGATGATGATGATGATGATGATGATGATGATGATGATGATGATGATGATGATGATGATGATGATGATGATGATGATGATGATGATGATGATGATGATGATGATGATGATGAT